GTGGTCCTCTCTGGAGCCCATAAAGTTCTAAGTGACTTATGAGTCACTCACAAGAAGCCTTATGAGCTTCTTTAAGACAATACACCTGGTTATAGAATAACTTGGTGTTTCTTGGCTGACTGCCTCAGTTCTCATCTTCATTTTCTTCACTCGGTTGGTTCTTTTCAATCCCTTGGCTCAGCTATAGGTAGTTTCTGTATTACATTCTGCTGCACTATTACTTCTTGTTGCATCTCAAAACTCTGATATCATCCCCTGGAGGGAACAGGCTCCCCGGAGCAAAGCGATCCCGTGGTGGTGTTTTAGGTCCAGGACCCATGCAGGGGCTCACTGGAGCTCAGCACAGCTCCCTGGCCCCAAAAGGCAGCCCAGGCCTTGCACAGATACCTCGACAAACTCACCCCCTGAACAAAAAGTACACTGCACACAGCGCCAGGTCACACTTCTTCCTCTAAAGTTTAAAGTTTCCTTTCCAAGGCACTGGAGAAAATGACAAAATTTCCCCTTTGATGAATAAAAATACATCGTTAACAGTGAAAGGCAGGCAAAAAAAATCTTAATATGCTTTAGTAGGATTCTTCAGTAGTCTCATAACCAGCTAACTTGTACTGGAGGAGAGTATCGTATCAGAGGGTTAACATTTATTCCCCTCTGCCACCACCACTGCAAGGCTCACTGGTAAAAGAGGGGTGTGAAAATGTGACAGCCAAAGCACAGACTTTTTTTGGCAGCTCTGAGGAATGCACCAGGATTGAACAGTGCCTGCTGAAAATAACCCATTCTTGCAGTGCCTAGGAAATACCAGATGTTTAGTTTTACAATTAAGTAACAAAACGTTACTTTTCTTTATTAAAAGTACACTAGTGCTGTACTTGTTGAACAAATGCATATATTAATTACCTACTTATACCGATTACCTTCAATCCTCGTAACTGTAGCTATTTATACTGTCACCTCAAAAGCAGCTACTGACCTTAAAAATGTGAAGTTTGCATGCTTGCAAGGTATGCAAGGAACATATATTTTAACCATATATTTTAACCTGGCCATTTTGTTTAATTGATCTCTTTTTAGATTACCTGTAAGTCAAAAAATATAAGTAACCTACTAGCTCACACATGGCCTAGTGCTAGCGGTAGCTTCCAGGGTGTTAAAAGATAATAATTATTAGTTCTTAGAAGTCTTTGGTGAGCCAGCAATTTTAAATAGCGTAATTAGTATCTGTAACCATAATTTACATAAATTACAGGGGATTTATAAATACAGGTTTTACAGGTAATAATAATTTACAGGTAATATAATAAATAATAATAAATTTACAGGTAATTTATAAATAAATTACCAAATATTTCTCTGACTGCAGAAACATGGTGTTCCATTATCCAGAGGTAATAAACCCCACAAATGCAGTGTTCATCCTATGGATAAATCAAGACTGTCTCCCTGAGAATGTGATGTCCTGCCTCTGTGAGGGTTCAGCGGTGGTAAAGAGAATATTACAGATGACTTGATATATTATTGGAATAATTTTGCTGTGCTTTACTTTGTTCAAATAAAATTTCCATATACAAGAAAAAAAATGAAAATACCAATCTAGTGCTACTTAAGGCTGTGTTGATCCATTATACACCTCCAAATATGTCAACCTGCTTTATTAAGTTTGAATTGGCAAAGCTGCTAAAATCACTTCTGGGCTGTGCATGTCTTCAGTATACAACTAGTTCAGCTGGTGTTTGGACCAAAGAAAGTAGCAAGTCTTGCTTATTGACAAAGCAACACACAAAGTTTTCCTCATTTACCACTTGCTTTAAAAACCTATGTCTTTGTATTTGTACAGAATTCTTTTTCTGTATTAATTAACATAAGTCTTTATGTCACAAAAACTACTAAGTACTACTTGATAAATTACTTAACAATACCAGATCACTGTACCACTATACATTTTAAATCCTGATAGATATAAAACAGGTACTAAGAATCCCAGTTCACAAAACAAAGGTACAGTGAAAAAACATCATAGGAAGAGATTACTTGAATACTCTGAAGTAAAAAAGGTTATAAAATCTGTCACCTTATTGTCTCTCTAAGGTTCTGGTTTCTGTGGTTTCTGATCCTTGCCAGGCATTTAACCACGACTCCCTGGCTTGCACCAAGTGGTTTCCCACCCAAGTACTAAGCAGCTGCAGACCCCTTTGATTCTGAAATCAGATTATATGTAGCACATTAGTATTACAGATTTAGATCAGATTAACAGCCACAAAATGGGACATTTTTGAGGAAGGGTTGTGTAAGGCTCCTTGCTCAAGGAGCAAACATGGATTCTTGCTCCAGACATTACCTTGGTATTCCTTTATGAAAGCAAATTTAGAAATGCAAAATTACTCAATCTGAGCATATTGTTACAGTTTAATGTAAAAAACTAGAAATTACTATTTTACTTTCCAGAAATTGCTATAGTGATGCAAAACACACCTCATTCCTTCAAATGTTTAAATGCTAATTTTGCGCTGACTAAATTTCAGGTGCCAGGAGATCAAAGATAAGAGAACTGTATCATTAATCTTTCTTCAAAGACCATGCAAAGAGAGGCACCTTTGGAAAATTCAGAAACAAAACCTAATTTACAGACTTGGAAAGAGCTTTAGTATCATTTGCCAGCCATGGAGAAAATATGCCTATGATATTAAAAGGTGAGACAAAATGGGGCAGTAGGATTGACTTGGCTCTGTAAGAGCAGGGATTAGTAGCAGAAATTTACCTGGTGCTTTTTTCTTTAACAAATTTGTGATCCTCAGGTGAAAGTTTGAAAATACCTACTTGTATTTTTAAAATACTTTCATTTTATCATGATTAATACATTAAATATCTTAAAATACTTTAAATTTAATGTAATCAAATCAGTTCTAAAAATACATCATAATTTCCATTAGATGGCACCATCAACCTGTAGAACAGATTACAGTATTTTAAAATCAGTATTCATGAGTAAGCATTAAATACAGAAGAACTGTCCATTCTGGATCTGGAACCCCTTTTTCAAAGGAAAAAAAATCTTCCATATATGTGAAACTCAGCTTCAGACTCTGTTAGATCCTGGCAACCAAGCTTTGTCCGTGAAGTGCCAGGCAGTGCCACCATAAAACATCAACTTTTTCAAAAACTGCAATCTATTAAACTGGTACCTTAAAAGTTCTGATGTAGCTTTCAAATTCTAAAAATTTTGTGAAACCTCAAGAATCCTGGTCTCCAGTCCCGCAGAGGCATCCCTAAGGCAGTGTCCCTGGTTCAGGTGGCTCATGCTGAAATAGGAGAAATACATTCTCTGCCTTGAGTTCAACTGCTGGCCTATCCTTTACCCAGATTCTGGCAACTGATTTTCTGCTACTGAGCTTGAGAGACCTTAAACTTACTGCTGCTGGTGTCTCATAACAGACCTTTATGTTCCAGGAGATAAGTCCTCATCCTTGTGTTGTTCATTCAGTGCTGCAGAGCAAATCTAGGTTAAAAAGGCCATGGACAGTAAAATTTTTTCATCAGACGACCTATACAGTTCAAAGACTTCCAAGGCTTTCTTTGCTTACCTTTCTTTCTCAGTCAAGACAATCTCTGTTTTTACCTTCTGGTTCATCAGGTCTTTCCATAAGCTAAGACTACATTGACTGTCCTCATCAGGAACAGAAGATCAAACAGTTACTAAGATTTGTCAAAGAGGGACAAATCTCCCACATCAGACCACTGACTTCCTGCTCTTGAGAGCAGGACACCTTAGCACTCACTCTTCTCCCAGAATGTGAGATCCAGAGTGCTCATAGCTCAGATTCAGAGGATCACCTGCATCCCTCTCCTCATTTTGCCATCCCCACATGGTGATGATCCTGGAAGCACTCGACACCTCAGTCTTTTCACTGCTGCAACCCCTCAGACTCTGCTCTGCCGACACCAGGATTACTGACTGTGATGATCACTTGGACATATTTATGTACATTACTTTTCCTCTTTACTACACATTCATCATTTTATGTTTTACCCACCTGTTTTGGTACGTTTTATTGTCCAAGCCCAGCCTACCCCCTCCACCACCCCGAGCCCCTCCTGCCACAATCAAAAGTCATTCTTTCAAAAGCAGCGACATTTTAAAAGTGCTAGAACTAAAACAAGCCAACCAAATCCAGAATTATATTAGTGTTGGAAAGCTTAATCCTTCAGATGATTTGAAGAGAAAAACCCAACATTACTAAGCTTAGATCAATCAGTAGCTAAGTGCATGTAAACTACAAAGCAGAACAAATCACTTGCACTCCAGAATGCTGAACATGAGGTTAAGTGGGTGGCTAAATGATAGTAAACAAATGTAAATTAATCTTCTGAGATTCACTAGCTGCTTGGTGGCTTTTTACATACCCCAGAATTAATCAACTCAGTATTTTGGAATAATATATTTAGTAGAGATGTGATCCCCAAGGAATCATGAGAGAGAAACTGATGACAAGATGTTAGTTCTTTGTTCCACCTACTTACTAAATTAATTATTTAACACAAAACTTTGGGGAATGCAGTGAACTGAGTACAGTAACTCATTTTTTTGTTACTACTTTGTATCAGGCAAATTATATCCAAATATAAACACTTCCATAGCAACCAAAAGATAAGCCTTGGTCACTTACATTAAGCCTCACTGCCTGTACCACTTAAATCTTTCTGCAGTCTTCTTGCACAACCAACCAAACCAAATAAAAAATGGTTTAATGTAATTTATTTGAAATGCTTCCAGAAAAGTTTAAGGCCATTATTAAAAAAAAAAAAAGGCAATACACACATTCATTCTTTCTTCTCTATCTGAACACTTTACATGCTTTTTTCTCTTTTTCAACATTTTGCTGAATAGCTTTCCTATTCCTTTTCTTTTGCAGATTTTTTCTTTCTCCCATCTTCACTGGCATACTCATTCAGTTCTAAAAATGAAGCAGTTGAAATAAATTACAAAGCCTGAAACAGAAAAGAAATTTGATTTTTTTTGAAAAACTATAAATACAGAAATATGTTCTATAGGGTAAAAATGCCATTTTTTTAAAAAATAAAAATACCTTGGTTTATATTGTTTATCATCTTGTCACACAGATTTCTGTAATGCATATCAGCATATATATATGTAAGATACTTGACATAATACATTTTCTGTAAACTTGTAGAACACAAGAAAAATATTTTTGGCAATAACTTAAGTTTTTCTACTTTTGTTTTGACGAGTACTTTGCACAGGTTATCTTGTGTGATATCAAGAATCATTTAAATTTATTAATATATCATTTTCATAGCTTGCCACAAAGCACTGGCATTATTTCTTATAATAAGAAATAAAATATCACCCAGGGATTCCTGAAAGTAACAGGATGTTTAACTGTTTTTAGACTGCATTTAAGTGACTCACCTGCTTCTCATTACAATGAGTAGATTAAATCAGCCACCAGAAAACACAGTAATATTTCCAATTACAGCATGAGATTAAATGCAATAAAAACTTTTAAAACAGAACTTGAGGAAAAGAAAAAGGATGTAATACATCCTAAAGGAAAAACAATTCCCTTTTTGTTTAAACTTTCTCTACATAATCCCATGGGGTATTTGTAGAGCACCATTTATATAAAATCATCACTTAGTTTTAAAACCAACTACATGTAATTGTAAACAGACATTTACAGAAAATTAATTGTTTTAACATTAGTTTAGTGGTGTTTAAAACCAACAGTGGAGGTCAGTGGAGTGCAAAATGCTGAAGAGGGCCTATTCACAAGCAAAAGCTCTTTTCCATTCTTATCCTGTTTGGGATAATATATTTATGGCACTGAAAGCAAACTACCAGCTTATTTACAAATACCCAGTATTCTCAGCATTTCATTTAATTCAGTGCTGGCTGTAGAGGTTTGGTTGGATTTTTTTATCAGTTGATTACTTTTAGCATTACATGCTTTGACAAATAAACCACATCACTGTGCTGACCACCTGAAATGTCCAGATTTTAGTAAGTTTGGTTGCTGGATTTTAGGACAGCGCTTCATTTTGAAAACTTAATCCCTAAAGAGTCCCTGGTTCCATGGCCTGCTGTTTAAAGTTCTTGTTGATTTAATATCACAAGAGTTCAGACAGGTTGTGCAAGATAGTTTTCTTTTTTTCCAAGAAACTATTTTTTCCTTCCATGCCTTTAAGAAAACTTATTATCTTAATCCCCCATCCTGAAACTCCATATTATGTCCACATCTTTAGCTGCCCCACTAAGGGGCAAATAAAGTACTTAAAATCAGGAAAAGTTATTTATGTAATGCATATATAAACAGTAGCTTAGAGATTCTGTTTACAGCAGGACATTGAGAATAACTGGTCAAGTACCTCTTTCATCCACCTTAGGTGTTTATGGAACATAATCACAGGACATGAGTTGCAAGAGATTCCAGCTTATACAGATGGGCAGTCACAGTACTACACTCACAGGTACGAATACAAGAAGGACTGCATTGACATCGTCACAAAAAATATTCTAAAAGTGCTTCTCCAAACGGTTCCACATATGGAATGCAAATACTGTACAGGTAAGAGACAGGTTTTCTTCCACGAACTGTAAGTTTTTGTCAAACATTGGTTTCTATTTGCTTGTCGTGTTCGCAAGAGTTCGTCTGTTCCATGCGCTCGCAGTCGCCGCTGACCTCGCTGGTGTCCATGCTGCAGTCCGACTCACAGTCCGACTGCTCCATCTGCTCCAGGCTGCATTCTCCCGGGGCAGCTCTGCGGCCGTTTGGAGACAACACAAAATGTGCTTCCGAGTTCAGCCCGCCAGCCTTGCCCGCACACGCCGCCTTCTCCTTGGCCTGGCGGATACAGTTCAGCCACTGCTGCTTGTTGAAGGAGTCATTGGCTTGGAGAGAGTGAGTCTGGCTTTGAGATCCGCTTTTGAAGCTGACTCTAAAGAAGTTTTTGACTGAAAAGAAACAATACACGTCAAAACCTTGAATGCTTTGGTTGAACGGATTTTATAATCAAAGCGTATATTTAAGTAACAGAATCTGAAAAATATTTGCCTTAATGTGTTTTCCTGCCAATACCACGTCAGACCAAAGAGAAGAGTCTGGGTATCTCCTTGTTTTGTGGGTCAAGATCCCAGAACACCACACGCTCATCTAATAATTTCATATTGCTGGATTAAGTGATTTTGGTTCTGCCATGCACGAGCTATCCATAAAGCTCGATTGGAATCAACAGGATCAAGGCTTTTCCCACACTTCCAAGCCTCTCTTTTTACTTCTCTGCAAAGCAGATTTCCTTGTACCAGCCAGAGACTGCCTCATCTTTTCCATTCACTTCACTAATACAGCAGATATGTACAAAAATCCCTCGAACTTTTGATCAGGTAAGTGAGATCCATGATACCAAGTGAATTTGTTCAAGAGGACCCTTGTAATAAAACAAGCATCTTTATTATGAACTTAATTAGAATGACATTAACATGAATAGCTGCAGTCTTGACACTGAGTGCTACAGTATCTGCCAGCTGAAAGCTGGAATAGCAGTCAATGCCTCCATAATACAAGGAAAGGCATGATAGCTAAAGCTTAAGATTTCAAAATACACTTGCTTATAATTTTGCAGTTTTGTCACTATAGCCTGCATATTCTCCCCTTCTCCATTCAGTACAAAAGAAGGTATGTGGAGAAATTATCAATACATTGAGCTTTGAGAAAGAATCTAAAAGAAACAAGTTACAACATAATAAACCAGTTTGAAACAAAAAAATCAAGATACTGGATTAATGTGAATTTTAGAGAAAACATTCTGATGTCTCATTGGCAGGTATCTTAAGGTTATAATGATCCTACATAAGTCAATAAAAAAAAGGTGTGGTCATACTTCTCTCATTGTTGCTGAATGCACCGCGGATGGATCCACCCAACCGAACTTCTCCATCCTGCAAATCTTCCAGCAGGAGCTCCCTGACGGGAATGGGCTGCCGGTACAGCTGGTAGCAGAGCTGCTCGTTGTGGGTGATAGCTCGTGTAATCACCAGCACTTCTTCAAAGAGGAAGACATGCAGTTTCTGGTAAACAGTAATAAATAATAAAGCATTATTCCTTTTTTTAGAGAGTCATTAAACCAGATTTATTTAAACTCGAGCATGTTATAACCTTCAGCTTTCAACAGTCAAAATAAATATCCCATTCTTCCCACTACATGTCACAACAGCATGCAAGTATGTAAATACAACAACTTAAAAACTTCTAGAATTATTTTTCCTGTCCTCTTCTCAGTTTCTTATGTCATAATCCTTTCCCAGCTGAGGCCTTGAATCATGCACAACATTTCAAAGCTGTCTCTACAGTAGCAGCATGCTTATACACATTCTTCTTTCTGACACTTAACTTTTCTCTACTGCCTCTGTTAATAAGAAAGAAGCAATCTTACTCATCCAGATATTTTTAATGAACAATTAAAAGTGATCTTCTTACAATTCACATGCTGCTCACAACCAGCTTCCCCACCGGAAATATTCACTCTTTGAAGCTCAGAAAATTACTTTTGCTCCTAGGTGGCACAAGTCACCTGTTACCATCTTTACATTATGTTTCTCCTGACACTTTGCCATCTTCAGTGGCTTCCAATAATAAACAAGCTGAAATTTTAAATTCATTTCACTTGATATCAGGCACTGAAATAATTCGTTTTTCATTGCCAAAATTTGCTTCCCAATCACAAGTTCTTTGCTTCTAAATCTAAATAAACACACTGCTTGCAAGTTTAAGAGAGACAGAGCTTCAGATCCATTTAGCTCACTGTCCTATCTTCCAGTAGCTCATGTAATTATATAGTAATTATAGCAGAAATATTTCCAAATATGCCTTGGCAGTCTTTTGATATTGAAAATGCCCATCTTCATTCTATATTTTCACAACAGATGCCCCATTTTATATCCATGAATAGTCCAATTTTTTTACAACTTGTGCATCTCTTTATAGGACACATAATCCTGCAAGTATTCCAGTTTTATCGGATTCACTATTTATCCAGGATATTGTTAGGCCCCACAACAGACAGAGATACATATAAGCTTATTATCACACTATATAGATATTTAACTACTAACAAAAATGATCAGTGTTATATATAACAGTTAATATTTACCAACTTCCTAGATATTAGAGCATGAGGTTTCTCTGTGTATGCTCACAGCTCTTTTAGCTGTCATTCAAAATGAAGATACCTTTAAAAGCTATTTATGATAAAATTTTTATTCCTTACCACTCCCCTGTTGTTCTTCAGTTCACCATGACAACACAGAGCACGTGAATTATCAATCAATGAATCCCTTTGGCCTTCTTCAAGATAAATAAGTCTCTCTTTGTAATACTGGCATTCGGATTCCCCAGTCTTTATGTTGATTTCAGCCACTATGCCCTGAATTATATTTATCTACAGAAAGACAATACAAACACAGGACCTTTAATTAGACAGTCCAACACTCAGAGCTATCTCCTAATAATTTGAATGGTAGCTACAATTTTGTAATTTTCAGTATATTTTTCATTACCTTTTGCAGAGCAGTCTATAAAAGTATTAATAGTAACAACAGAACTAACCAGACTACAGTGTACAAAGACACTTCAGTTTGGTTTTATTATGGCTTCTCACTATGGCTTAAAAATCTGGTATTTATCTCTTTATAACAAAACAAAATAGGCAGAATTAAGATAAACAGATATAAGAAATATAATCAGAGATGTATTTTTGCCAGCTGAAATGTGCCAATAAATGACACAGGACAAACAACCTACCTTAAAAATGTTTACTTAAAATAGATAATAATTCTCTGAAAACTGCTGCATCACATCAGAGAACAAGAAACAGAACTATCAAGATCCCTGTCCTGCAAAACATGCAACTAGCCCAAACCACTAAAATCTCAGCTGTTATTCATTATTAGTTATCCTCTGGAAACACAGTAAATTAATTGTATTTTACAATTCCACTATGTGCATATATCTACAATTCTATTATTGAAGTAATAATTTTCTTGCCTTTTTACTTTAAAAAACGTTAAAAGGAAAGCTTTGCCTTTTCTATAAAAATATTCTCCTTTATCTTGAACATCCTTATACTGTGCAGTCCTTCAGGACTTTGATATCAATTTTTCTGAAACTTAAAATACAGCTCCTTAACTGGGTGTGTGGATGTGGAGTTTATTCAACTCCAACAGTGATCAGAGGCTGCTCAGATGGATCAAATTCAATTTTATAACTGGAGGTGGAGCAGGGGGGTGGGTTGGGACATACCGGCCCAAAGAGGTAGTTCAAGAATCTGCTGATCCCAGGAGATTTATCAGGGATCAACTTGGCCCAAGGTGCTTAAAGCAGATGGCCAGCCAGGGAGACAAACATACTTCATAAGCCTTGGACAGTGTTAAGAGCCAACCACATACAGTCATTTTTGTTTCCTAATTTAACTTGGCAGATACACAATTTCTGACATAAATCGCTTCAAAGATCATCACAAAGCTATGTAAGGCTATTGAAATATCAACAAAAATAATTATTATATTTTCTGAAACAATAAAAAATACAAGTGTAGAAGGAAAGCATTTAAAACATTTTCTAGAAGATATCGCCAGGCATTATCTAGGAAAGCAAACTTCAGAAATAACCAGAAGAATTCTTTGAGATATTTATGATTTTTGTTTGGGTCTTACAGAATAGGCACAAGGGAAAATTGTATTTTATAGATTACATCCAAATGTGAGTATCCAAGCACTGAATTTAAACCATATTGTCCAATTTTACAACAGAGAAGTTAAGCTGGGCAAGAGATTTGAGGAAGGAATAGCAGAACAGTGGTGAGGTACATGTGTTTTGAAAGATGGATTTTCCAAACAGAAGCAGGGCAGTCATTTTTCAGCAAAGGAATACTAAAAGGTACAAAATATTAAAGTGTAGGCAAATCATAAATTTTGTTCTCAAAATACTAATTTTACTTATATTTAAATACTATTCAAAAGCAGTAGGACAGTGATGATACTTATTTATTCATTTCTTTACAAGTGTGTTTCAAACAAATCCGCTACAGTGAACTCATTTACTTGCAGATACACATTTGTGTGTATGTGTACATATTATTGAATTTAATGTGTGTGTATGTATGTGTATATATATAGATATATATATATGTGTGTGTGTGTCTGTGTGCGTGTATGTGTGTCTGTGTGTGTGTATGTACATGAGAAAACAACAGAAGTCTTAGCAATATCTGAATTGGATCCTTTTCAATTAATGAAGAAGTTTTAAAGCCTTGGATTTATTCCCCTGGTTTTACTTCAGAAAGCACAACACAAAGGAATTATGGAATTACAATTACAAATGAAAAACGGGATGAAAGCAAATTTCAGAGCACCTTTCCTACAGATGTTAATTACTAGATTCAGAGGTTATGTGAGATCTCAAGCCAGGGAGTAAAACTTATCTGAGTGATCTAAAACCTGAAAAGAAATCTCCCCTTCACTTAGATTAGAGTGGAAAACAACACTGACGGGTAAATACAAAATGGACAAGGATCAGACAAGACCTGTGTAAAACACCTTCCATCCTGTCACTGTTTTTTAGTATCACTTTGCTATTGAAATAGGTTTTACCTGGGGGCGTGGTGCTAGATATTTCATGTATTATTTTCAGGTGTACATATTAAGTATTTGCATTTTTGTATTTTATGCAGCATTTTATGTAGCACTCATTAATAAGCTAAAAGCGCTATATCTCCTAAAAAACCCAAACCCAACAGTAACTCACAGCTTCTTCAAGGTGCTGCTGATCTGGATGATCATTTGGTGTGTGTCTCAGAATTTCTCGGAGCAGCAATGGGTATTTAACCAAACGGCTTCTTGGGATGTCCAGGAAATTCCAAAGGTCCAGTTTGCGGCTGAAAGGAGACTCCAAGCAGCGCTGCAGGAAATCCTGCACTCTGTGATCCTGTTTCTTGTGATCCAGTAAAGCTTTGGCTGCTACTTGATTGCTGCAGTAGCTGTCATAGGAGTTCAGGCATGGAAGCTGAGGAAAGGAAGAAATTATTGTGCAGCTGAAGCAAAGCCCAGTTTGCTCTACTGAAAGTTTCAAGTGATTCAGGATGTCAGAAATTCACAGTGAGACTCTTTTAGCTGGAGATTTATCCACAATTTACTGATGATAGCATTTCCAAGATATATAAGTTTTACAAGGGTCCTCAGACCTTGTTCAAAATTTCAGTAATTCAGAAGCACTTGCTCATCTCTCAGTGCCTAAAGATCTCCAATACTATTTCAAAGCATTAAAAATATCAATGACTTAAGACTGAGAACTACTTAATGCAGGCAATAGTTGAATACAGAGGCCTGATGTTAATTGTGAATGGAAATAAAAGCCTAGGAATGAGTACTCCCAAACCTGGCCTTTTTTAGATATGCAAAATTCTATAGTCAAACTTCTATATTGCCCTCAAGAACCTTAACCAAACTAAGACAACAAAACTGTGCCTTAAATATGAAAAAAAACCCAAAACAAAACAACTTTGACAACTGGAACAGAATGACATTCAAAACTAACTGTAGGGTGCCCTTATACAATGTGACTTTTCAAGAAAACCAGAATACAAATGGGGGCAGATTCTAAATTGACCTACATGAGACAAACTCTAGTCTGCCTCTCCATTTTTGTTTAAAGTATATTAAATACAGCTTGTCTCCTGAAGAGCAAAAGCTTTAAAAACAACGTCCTAGTCTAAATCTTCTCATGGAAAATCCCTGAAAACAGAAAATATTCCATTATATCTCTAAATAGTTGCCCTACCTTTAAAAAAATTCTGAGAATATATTTTTGACATGTTATGCTAGATATGAAAAGGAATTTGTCTGATAAAAACTATGTTACAGCTCCAAGCTAAAACCCCAAAACTGGTTATGAACTCTGCCTTACCCAACCCACAAGGATGTGGCCAACGTGTTCTGTTGATCCATCAGGTTTCCTGATTTCTTGAAGTCGCCTAAGAAGATCTGATCATTAGAAAAAAGAAGAGAAACCTCACTTAATAAACCAGGTGATTTTAAATCTACGTGTAGTAGCAATGCAGACAAAGACTGTTGGAGTTTTACCTTCATGTAGAGGAATTAGGGAGTCCAGTGTTCCAAAAATTTGGTTCAACTCTTGCTCTGTCATTATGGAAAGCTTAAGCATTGGGTCATGATAAGCCTGAAAAGAAAAAAAAAGGGAGTTCTGTAATTAATATATCACTGGTAGTTGAAAAATTAGTATTTAAAGTTCCCTGTAAGTAAAAACAGACCAAGTGCTAAGAATACAGACCAACTGCTAAGAATATTTTGAAGTTTCATAACCATATATTAAAATTATCGATTTCATATTTAGGGGGGTGGGGAAAGCAGCACATTTAAGTGTTTCAGAAAGAATGGGGAGATAGAAATAAGCTTTGGGTTTCTTCCCTCCCTTACTGTCTTAGCAATTATAAAAATCAAAAATTATTTTTAAAGTGTTATGAACCAATTAATACTGTTTGTTGTGGTTTGTGGTTTTGGGTTGTTTGGGGTTTTTTTAATAAACATACCTTTTTTGCCAACTTCAGATCTTCTATCAGGTCTTCTTCTCCTTTGGAAAGTTCAAAGATTGCCTGTAAAACAGACACAAGTATTCTAAAATATCTTTGTTTAATCTATACTCCACTTACTGATTTGATGTTATATTTTGACCAGATGTCTTAATACCACGTAGCTGGTTCCTGGAATACAGCTCACTTATTTGGGCTGTATCAAGAGTCCTGGCTTCTGCCCCAAGACAGCAATGACTGTTACACTGTGCAAACAGTTTCTACAGTTTATTTTTCAATAAGCTGCCTTTGAAGTTCTCAATTACAGAAGTTATTTCCTATGAATTCTTGTACATTGTTAAAATCTGCACAAGAAATGCTTGGCACTACTTTTGTTTGATTTATGACTCAGTGCCTGAAGTATTCTCAGAGATTGTTATAAGCTTTGTTGATACTACCCAAAATTTCTTTTGAAAATAAAAGAAGCTTGCTTCTGTAGGAGCTCTGTGTTGATTGCAATATGAACTATTTAGACTTTGTCATGTACTACACATTAAAACCACTGACATACTCTTTTTGTTTTGGAAGGCATCTTTTGATCAGTATGTCATCTTTCTAGCACTGGAAACTTCCTCAAAGACAGTCTTTTCCAACAGGGGAAATGATGGTGCATTTCTGTGTGTATGCATCACTTGCTGGATACCTGTTCCTGCTCCTCTAGCATTGCTGGACACCAAAATATCAACCATGACCACAGAAAGTGTCACACAGAACAGGGACACACGTGCAGCCCCTCACAGGACAACAGATCTCAGTCACTTCACGTTTATGAAGGAAATATGATGAGCTGATTTTTATGAAGAATATATTCATCTAATATAGGTTGAGTCCTGTAGACTAGGGATGGAATTCTGCTTCTAGTGGAGTGGTGATATTCCATTTAATTGCAGGAAAGCTTCAAGTGCCATCCCAACGCCCACTAGAATTCCCAACTCCATACTTTACAGGCAACTTTCGAACACGCAATTTATGGTTACAAAACAACACAGACCTCTTGCCGCTTGATTTCCTTGGCTGTGAGCATGTGATTGACACAGACATCGAAGGTCTCACTCCACAGTTTGCTGTCCCTCCGTTTGGTGCTGGCAGGGGGCACATTCCGAGCCCAGGGCCGGGGACTGAGCAGATCCGGGCGACTGTCACTGCGGAAACTGATGGAACGCTGCGGATCCGGGGAGGGATTGGGGTTATGGTTAGAACAGCTGTACTTATCTTGCTTTCTAAGGGATTTATATACACAGTTCAGTGCAATAAATATATTATCTAATATTAGTTTTTACTTTGAACTTCACAGGAGTTTTAGTACTGGGAATGTAAGAAAAATTATTTTAATACATCTTCATGGAAGGTCAGTACCTCCAATTCCTGCAGTGAACTATGTCCATGTCCTGCCCTCAGCATGTTCAAAACCTATGCAATGCATTCATATACCATGCAACAAGACTGAACTAGAGACAATGCAGAATGGTCCAACACACTGAATTAACATAACTGATCAGAGTTTCAATTCAGTAAACAGAAATTATTCATGCATTACACATATCTACCTCATTAGATCTCTGATACTTAAAAATTTAGAATCAATGCAAATTTTAGAAAGTAAACTCTATGAATACTTTTTTGGTTAATTTTGAAAGAAAGAATTAATTGTTACATAGAACCTCTGGAAAGCTAAGACAGCAAAATCTGGCAGATAAACTTGTCTTGTGTATCAACTGAAAGTCAACAGAATTGTTGGGTCTAATTTATTTTGAGGGGTGAGAGTGTTCATAGATGTCTGTACTGAAAAACAGTAAGTCCTACACCTCAAAGATATCAGATGAAAGTATGCATTATATTAAACACATATTACAGGTTTAAGAAAAAAAAAAAACTTTTCTCAGGTGGGGAGAAAGAGGGTTCATAAAGGAGATTTCCCTTCAAAACCTTTCCTTTTACCTTACTAAGTGTCTTAATACCTGAAAGCATCACTTTTGGTTTTTAACTGTCAATCATCACAGATTTGATAGGTATCATCATTACAGATATGTCCATAAGAGGATTAAATAATTAGTGCCATAATGCTCTAACTGACCAAACTGGTTTTGATACATGGAGAAACCCTTTCAACTGGTTACATCCTGCCTCTTCAGATGTATGGATCAGGAAACTAATCCACATAGAAAGGTGTGAAATGGGTAGCTGACTGAAATGAGAACAACAAACTGTTCCTTAAAGTTATGTCAATATTCAGATATTAATGTTTGTGACAAGGAACAAGGCAGGTTCTTTTCACACCATTTGCTCCTACTTTACTTCTCAGCAGCTGAAGAACTACATTAACAATCAGTGCTAGCAGATAGCAAACTGAAATAATCACTATTGGTTCTACTACTGTGGAATCTTTATTAGTACTTCTGGAGCCCCTAAACTCCACCAATGGGTACCAGCATCTCTGTATCTACTATGTGGTCTGGTCCTAAAATTCAATAAAGCCAATTTTAAGAGAGACTTGAGAGTTCTGTTTGCCTGTAGACTCTTAAAAAGAGTTCAGGCTAAGGATGGATACTTCATGCTCTTATTGTGCTATTTTGAAAAGATTTCTTTCTTCCTTCATTAAAATTAGAGGCTTCTTTTTGAGGTCCTACCTCTGAAATGCCTTAACTATTTCACATAGTTGAAATACTCTACACTTTTGTTGTTATTTAAAATGTGCCTTACATAACAGAATCATCTTTCAACTGCCTTGGGTAAGAATATTTAAAACAAAATAAATTCTCTTCATTTCCAGGTTGAAAGCACCACATACAAAGCATAAGACTTAAAATTCTCCTCTGAAGAGCCCATAAAATGCAAACAGTGCCTATAAAAACAGTATGTTTTTACAATATCAGAAGACATATTATATAAATAAAACCCATGCCTTTTAAAAGAAGCCATTCTGAGTCCCACTTGGAATTGACAAACCCCTTAAAAATAAACACACACACACACAAACCTTCCAAACCTTTGCAAGTCAGGTGCTAGTGTTCCTTCAAGAGTTAAGAAGACACAGAAACACCTGTGAAATTGCATGCTTAATTTACACTTGTTATAATAAGGAATCATGGAACCTGTTATATTCACAGGCAAACGAGAAGATTGGGGAAAAGAGGCAGGTGCATTGCATCCATAAATCACCAGGAGAATGCAACTAAGCAGAACATTCCATGGCCCAAGGTGGAATGCCCCTTTCCATGCATTCCCATCCAGGAGATAGCTCCTTTGTGGTGGGTGTTCTCGTAAAGGAATGTTTTATGTTGAATGAAGAAAGCACTTGTAATGAACAGCACCAGACAGACGGATTTTTAAAGTAAACCTTTTAACAATGTCTTGTATCATGTTATAAAATGGCACACAGCCATAACAGCAAACTCATATCACACAGTGCTTTGAGAAAAGTAATGTAAGGGGCACAGGACTGAGGGTATTTATTTTATGGAACAGAGCCCTAAAGTGAAGTTCTACCAAAAAGTTTTAAAAACAAGTTCTCTGATGGTGTCTTTGGTTGGTACTTGCCAAGAAGGGAAAAGAAAAAAAAAGAAAAGAAAAATCAGTCATGTGATAGAATCCCATGAAGGAACTGCAGGAATGTCAAAACAGCACTTCTACATCTACAGTCTTTTAAAAATATTTTACTAGTTTCTGGCTTCCTTAAAAATCATGTCCCAGACACTCTTTAAAAATTATGGCCATCTGTGGTGACTGAAATTTTCATAGAATTCCAAAAACTAAAGCAGCCAGGGAAGAATCCAGACACAACCCCTCATTTTGTTTACTGTATTTCTCTGATGGCAACAGCTTTCCCTGGCTGTTACAAGACTGTTGCTATGAAGGGTCTATGTGTTCCTGATGTTAATTGATGCAATTAGCAAACCTTAATTTCAGCTGCAGTAAAGCAAAGAGCTTCATGTGCTGTGAAAAGGGCACTACTGATCAAAGCCCCAGCATTCAGGACTGATGTTAAAAAGAGTTTTCTTCTTTGGGATTTTTAGAAATTTCCGGTGTCCTAAGACAGATAAAAATAATTTGGACTCCCTACTTAAATTCAAGACACACTGATGAAGACTGAAGCTGCAGAGGAAGCCAGCCAGACTTCCATTTCTCTCTTCAGCATCAGCTGGAGTTCTTTTTCTGATCCTATTTTCAGCTTTTAAGCTGAACAGCACAGCTGTGAATAAGACCAAGCAGATCATCACAATCATTAGTCTGTCTCGATAGAGACTGAATATATAGCTATAAAATAAACTGGTTTCCCAGGTGGATGAACAAATAAGAATACCTGCTTAGTACGAGGCACCCTGCAGATATACAGACAGGCTGTCAGAGATGAAGCTGACAGCACTGTATTAGTCAGCTACTCCACAGTGCTCTGTGTGACAGAAACAAAGACTACAAAGAGTCAACAAAAAAAAAGTCCAGAAAGAAAACCAAAACAACTTTATGTGTTTGTTACTTGGAATCCTTATGGAAGAAGTATTGAAAATAAGTGGACAATTGTAATAAAGTTGAGTATAGCCAAAAATAATCAGATACTGCTATAATCAATAAAATATGCAAAACATGAAAAGCTGCTAAGAACATATCTTAAAAGATACTACACGAATCCCAGACACAGAGATGTTTCTCTTCCACCTGCATGCTGAAAGTCTATTAATATAAAATAGAAGATACATTTACAGAGGTAAGGAAAATTATCCATAATAAACTGTTTTCCTCTTACATGTATCTTCCATTCAGAAGAATGTGTAAGAAGGTTTGTTTGAAATGCCATAAAGGAATCTCAGAACTTTCTAATTCCTTTTACTGATGCTGTTGGAATAATCTTTTTAGATAGATGTTCTGTTGGCTTTGTTTTGTTTTCTTCCAGGGGAAGAAGTCATTTATTTGGCCTGTTGTGGTGATGATAGTACTTTACTTCACTTTACTGACATGGAAGATCTAAGCAGCAATGCAAGAGGAGACACTAGTTTTGACTGAAACAACAGTGAAGATACATTAAAGTTCACCCAGTAAGAAAAATAAACTTTTTACTTTTTTTTACAGGAAATTACACCATGAAAAGAAATCCTGCTCTAAACTGTTCATAAGACACAATGACAGCTATGTCAATACATAATAAAGTGAAACAGCTATATGTGCTTCCCAGAATGTTTCTAAATAATTCCAAGTGGGATACCTGAGCACAAGGTCAGTCTTTTTTGTCCCTGTTCTATAGTTACTGACAAAATCAGATAAGAAGTCAATTTACAGCCAGCTATGAAGGCAGTCTTGAGGGACATCACCAGCATTCATCACTTGGAAATGGATTCAGACCCAGGATTTAGAGAATACATAAGCTGATTTCTCAACACAGCTCCTTCCAGCACATAGTTAGAGGGGTTGGTATGAATAACATCACTGTTTAATATGCTTAGAAGCAGATAGTTAATTAAATATATTCTTATAGTCATTATGAACAGAACAAGACAGAAATGCTTGCAACAGCAGGACTTGCAAAGCCACTATTTTCTCTCCTATTTTTGACAAAATTTGCCCTGAAACACATTTATGCAGCTCTCATCTCAAGAAGCTGCTACTACACACATGAAAGGACAGTTGTTTTGGATAGTCTAAAAGGACTTTATTAGAGACAATACTGTACTGGACACTGTGTACAGTGGCAGAGGCATTCACTGCAGAACAATAGCACAGGTACCTCAATGAGGCCAACAGCTGCGTAAGGCTGGGAAAAGGGAAGCGCCTCACTCAGCTGCAGTTTAGCCAAAAATTAATTCACTTTCCACACTCCTCGCCACTGGAACTAATGCAGCCCTTTCAGAGCAGGGCCAATTTTTCCTGGAGGCAGACTATGGAGGAGATTTATACACCCCAGGGAATACAGGCATCTCTGCCCCAGTCACGCCAGACTACACCTGGCCCAAGCCCAGGCCGAGGGCTGTGCAGACATTCTGCTGTTCCTCCAGCCCTGCACAGCAGCTTTCTGTCCAATGTCTGCACCTCACACACCGGAGGAACCGAAGACAAGAAAACCAATGTTAGAAAACCCCTGTAATATCTGTTTTCTAGATAATTACCACCACAGAAAAATAGGGTCTTTCCCATGACTTTTTATTTGTCATAAGACTCCCTGCTCTGAAGTTTTATTTCTTTCCTCCTTAACAGGTAGCTTCAGTAATGCTCTAGTTTAGCTGATTTTGATTAGAACATTTTTAATACGTTCAAGTTATTTTTAAATTTCCTCTCAAAGAAACTAAGGTTGTTAAATAATGTTCTTCAGATCTTATACGTGCTTACTTACATAAACTGTTTTAAAGAGGAAACAGTCTGGCTTTCTAGGCCAGACCCACAGCAGTGCTGCAGCTCCCAGCTGGCACTCGGCAGAGCCATTAGGAGTTGAGCACCCAAATATTTCGCAGTCTCTAGGTCTGAAGGCACAAATGCTTTATAAACTAAAGTTCCATTACTCTCTAAGTATGGTAAATACTATGCACCTAATCTGTAACACAGAAACTGCATTTAAAATTTGCTTACCCTTTACTAGTTTTCATCATCAGCTTTGGAAAACGACTTGGAAATTTCCAGTTGTCAACTAACTCTTTTGTTTAGGCAAGATCAAAGTTCACTATACAGAAGGAAATTTAGCAGTCCTACATGACCAACTATACCAAAAATAACACTTTCAAAGAAACCAACCAAAATTAATAGAAAGTGTCATGGAACATTCTCTTCATCAAATTTTAAAAGCAATCGTAATCGTTTAGTAAACCATTTTTATATGCTACAGGTGCAATAGTTTTCTTACTGGTAATTGAAAAGCATTAATAATCTGGACAGAAAAGTGGTTTTTTGAGGTGAGAGTTGTGAGTTTGAAGCTGAGTGACTTGATATTCACAAGTGCCTGAAGTTGTTTGGCACATCACAGTGGAGTGTGTGTGTTATGTGCATCACCCATTGCCAGGGACCCAAAAAAACTGTGGCTGTGTCCACATACCCCTTCCAACAGAGTTGGATCTGCTGCCATTACCTGCAGTGTCTGGCTGAACCTCTTCAGTGGAGTGGCACGGACAGGAGGAATGAGATTGGCCAGGGATGTGACTCTGGAAAGCGGCTTGACCCGTTTGTTACTGGGCTCCTGTAGCAGGGGGAGAGAGGGGGAAGGAAAAAAATGGGGAGAGTGTGAGTAAAATTAAACAAAGATTGCTGAGCTTTTACTGATTTTCCTAAGAAAGCATTTCTAACAAGCCAGTTTGCAAACCTGGCCCATAATTAGGGCAGTAAATAAACAACAGCAGCTTTAAACACTGACAGTGATAGATTGCTCTTGGCTGGTACATACAGGTCCTAAAACAGCTGGAAAATGTCATGATGGAGACTTGGCATGGCTGGGAGCAGAGGGAGAGAGGAAGGTAAAGAAAGATTAAATAATTTCATTATATTAACTCATTCTTCAAAGAAAAGTTTTCAGCAGTGCTCTGCAGCTAATGCACATCGTGATAATCTCATCAAAAGGAATACTTTCAAATAAAAACAATTCTGTTTATTTCTGTGCCTCTGGCACTGTCAGCATGTGACTCTATTCATTTAAATGTATTTTATTCCAGAAAATATAATTCAGACAAAAATCTCTAAGTCTCATTGTCTTTGAATTCATATTCCTATAGAAATACATATACAAGCAAACATATAAGTAGCATGTTTATATATATTTATTTTTGCATAAAAAATAAAGGAAAATGAAACAAAAATCTACCATATAGCATTTAATTAAATATTTTTCTTTTCATATATACTTTCAACAGCACAACAGCACTTAAAGTAATATATAACTTCAAAATAATATGCTAACTGTCCTGCAGATATATATTTTTAAAAAAATCAACAGAAATCGTAACACAAGAAAAAGGTGGTTATAAATACATAAAAATAGAACAGTTACCCTTGGCTTCCTAACCTCCATCTGACATTTAACAGATCCTGAACAGCACATGCAAAAGGCAACTTTTGACAGAAAAAGACCCAAACCTTCCAAGTGAAGTTAAAAAACCTATCCAACACCATATTTCAAGGACATCCTAAAGTAGTTCATCTTTCTTTTTCAGCCATGCTTATAAGGTTTGTGTAGCTTTGCTATGCCTCCAGTTGCCTAGGCATAGCTTTAAGAAAATGAAGCATGCCTATTATCCTTTTCTTCAGAAATATAAATCCTTCCGGAAATAATGCAAATCTGTCAACCTTTCTGATACCCAAAAATAAGTCTCGGGAGCGAAGATCACCATCTGTATTACTGGCAAGAAAAATTCTCTTCTATTAGTGCAGCAACAGAGGAAAGGTGAGAAGCAGCTACATATTTAATTTACTTCTCAGCAGGCAGACCTGGAAATCCATAAAAGCCAGCTGAGATAAGCGACAAAGTGTTTAACCCTCTAGCAAAAATAATGTATTCCATCACACATGAAACCTGGCATTAAAGAACTGTAGCAGCCCAAATCACGTTAAATTCTTATCTTCACCATTGCACTGTTATTCATAACCCTTCCTTTTCAGCAACCACGTCTTTGAGACAGGTTTTAGAAAGAGTATTTTTTACGTCATTGCAGCACCACCAGCATACTTATCTACAGCAGCACCAGCAGCATGACATTCCACTGTAATTCTTCTCTAACTGGTGGCACATCATCAGCTGTTTGTTTTTTATGATTATTCAGAATGCTAGTGCTGGTGCACAGATAATATCCCATGGCAGAGCTGCTCGTTCGGGACTGTGCTGCACTGCAGTGGAAGGACACGACGCCCCAGGCAGAGCTGGGCAGTGCCATGCCAGCAGCACAGCCTGTGCCTGTGCCAGCAGCTCTACCTGAGCAGCAAAGGTTACTTAGGCATCAACAGCCCAGCTCAAAAGCAAAACCTGGCAATCAAGGTTGTATGGACTTTCAGAAGAAAGAGAGAGAAGGATTAGGATTAATAGAAAAGATTACTCCTCCTTCACTGCCGTGTCCTTTCTGGTATCTCACAGCTTTGCTGCAATGTGTGTGTGTTCTAGGAATGAAAGACAAAACCCATGAAAAAAAACTGAGGCTTAACAAGACCAAGTGCAAGGTGCTGCACCTGGGTCGGGGCAAGCCCTTGGTATCAATACAGGCTGGGGGGTCCATCTCCCATCCATTTCAAGGAGAAAAATGCCAAGGCAGTATAGTTTTACTAACGTTCATGCTGCAAAACCTCACTGAAAACAGAAACTGATGCTTAAGACAACGAACTCCAGTTTCAGCCACCATCAAAAAACATTAAGCTCTTCTAGAGCCTCTTTCTGTGAGCCACCAGAGGCCAGCTCTGCTCCCAGCAGGCAAAGCCAAGTTAGGTAACTGCAGTTCTACCCCTCTTGTGTCAGCACTCCATCTTGAGTTTCTCATGCAACATATGGTGTTCTGATTTCACTCTGAAAATTCTGACCAGAATTCCAAACAGCTAAATACATAGTTGAAATTAAGAATTCAATTTTACGGAAAGAAAATAGCATTACCACAGGACTCTCTTAAACAGCATTATTTAGGATAATTTCAGAAGCCTGAGACTTTTTACCAAGGAGCTCTTAAAGTAAGTCTTGTTAATCATAAGTTGTTAAGTATGAAAAAAACTTTTTTTGAATATTTCTAACATGATTTTCACCTTATATTAGAAACTGTCTGATAGGTTAAGATACCGAGCTGGAAGTGGAAACTCATCATATCTTAAGTGTTCCAGATGTCATCTCCTTCAGAGAAAGACAACAAAGATCATCAGCACTGAGTCACCTCTTCTACCGTGGAAAAATTAAGTTTGTACAAGTAAGGCTTTGCCTGTGCAATGAAAATATAGCACTACTGGAGCAATTCTAAAACCATTAGATAGTAATAGTGAAACTGTAAGACAGTCATAGGATTTCTGCTGTATGGTCTAAAATCATTCTGTCTCCACCTCCCCTTCCATCAACACCCTCATCCTCAAGCTGCATCACATCTCCAAACCAGCACCACAGAGAAGCTGAACAAGCTACTGAGGCCAATGATCTGGACAGGGGAAAATTCCTCAGTCAACTGCAAGTTTTAAACAGTTTTTCTCACCAAGGACTCTGTTCTTCACAGTCAGCAGATCAAATAGAAAGAGAAGACTGTGTGAACTGTTCTGCTTTACCCAGAGACACTGAACAGAATCTGCACTTGCACATTAGTCCCATAAGATCAGGGAGCTGCTCTCCAGATGCTGCTTCCCAAGCCGTTTCAATTTTATTAATTTATCTTAAAAATAATAAACTGCCTTTGCACCTAGGAATTCCTCGTGAATGTATTCATTACTTTACTAATTTGTCTCTGAAAAATCTCTGATGTTCCAGTTAATCAGTAGTCCCACGATCCTTTGGGGTATGAATCTCAGCATGTGGAAATGCAGAATTGTGTCTGCCCAGCATGAGGAGGCTCCAGTAAGGACATACTGCACAGGTAGAATGAACATCAGATTCCAGGCACACACCTCTGGGTGCAGAGCTACCAAAAGTCATCACTCCCCATTCCCTCTTGCTCTCTCCTGCCCCTTCAGGGAAAGTTAGAAGCAGAGGGGATTGAGAGAGAAGATTTAGTGGCTGCATCCAGTTGCAACACCATCACCTGTCCAGACTAGGAAGTGGTTATGACACAAAAAATTCAGGAGTTCTAATATTTTGCCTGACTTTTTAAAGTCGTCATTATTGGTATTAAAAAAAAATCTCATTTCGAAGTTTTGAAATTATTGCATGTTTGACTGCATTTGCAGACTCATGAAGGCTTGCCAAAACAGTACGGGAAGTTAAAAAAAAAAAAAAAAAAAAAAGATCCAGACTACAGTTTGGCAGAGTTTCCAAAATGTGGAGCCGGTATATGTGAACAAGTAACGTTAATCTGACAAGGCTTTAAATTTGATATAAGGCTAAATAAAGCTGAGGGAAACATGAGTGCACAAACTTCAAAGGCTGAACAGTCAAGTGAAATCAAATTAATACCTGACTAGGCTAGAACAAAGAGCAGATGGCTTTTGGAGGGAGCTGTATATTTGAACTCAAGACGACTTCGGTAACATTTGAATTCAGAGAGGAAAAAATTTAAGCGGGAAATACCATGTATATATGAGCCTCAGAAAGAACTTGAAACTGTGAACAAACTGATTAAAGCGGCAAATCTGTGTCCAAAATATGGATGGTTCTGAAAACCAGAGTGGACATTCCAAACAACTACTGTGTCCTTTGGAGAGAGTCTGTTTTTATAATATACTTTTCTGAAAAATTAGTAGGAAGAAAGACTAATCGCAATGGCATAATCCCAATTTAAGATGGGAAGCTATCAGATAAGTTTCAAAGATGCCATGCCTCACCATTTCTCTAATTTGGCATGAGGATTGCTTCTTTATTGTAATTTACTCTGTGGATTTTATATACACACACACACACACACACACTTGTAGTATCTTCTATATATTAAACTCTAAGCCAATGGTTTAGACTACTGAGTAAGCAAGGAAAGCTCTATCTTTTAACGTAGAACCCAAAAAATTAGTCTTCTGCTGTGGGACAGCTGGAAAACTCATACAGCAATGAGCTGCAACTACAGCACTACAAGGAGCCCAGGTAAGATCTGCCAACTCCCTCTTCAGTAAAATGTAAGTCTTTTTGCCTTGCATAACTGAGTGACGTGTTGCTTTCTAAACTGTGATATGGTCATTCCAAAATGACAGCATCTTGGCAAAAAGGTAACTTTTGTATCATTATTTTTGGCTCTGGTACACAAGAATTACCATATGAAAGCCTGAATCTTAGCACACAGTACCCATTCCTGGGGCAAGCTGAGCATCCAACAGCCACAGAAGTGTGATAAAGCAGAAGATCCTCTGAAGAATCAGGCACTTAGATTAGTTGCAATGTACTGACAGCTAAGTTGATGTTATTTTTATTCCTCCTTTAGCGAAACTGGCACCTAATAATTGGATATATTTATCCAATAACACACTGCACAGATAGGAAAGCTTCTAGGAGCCTATTTAGGAGAAGAAACTAATGCTTTGGTGCTCTTCATCTGCAAAATTAAAAAAAAACAAAACAAAACAAACCACCCTCTTTTAGTTGTATGT